TGTCCATCTGGCTTTGAGACCTGATACATGTCCATCTGGCTTTGGGCCTGATACATGTCCATCTGGTGTTGGGCCTGATACACGTCCATCTGGCTTTGGGCCTGGTACATGTCCATCTGTCTTTGGGCCTGATACATGTCCATCTGGTTTTGGGCCTGATACATGTCCATCTGGCTTTGGGCCTGATACATGTCCATCTGACTTTGAGGACGTCCTTGACATTGTCATAGGAGTAGTGTAAGAACAAAACGGGTTGTGCCAGACCCAATGCTATAGGTGGGCGTATAGATCACACAAGCAGAAGTGGATGAAAGAGCCTGTTTAAGGTCAAAGGAGTTACTTCCCTCTGCGCTGTATCTGATCACAGCCGTGTCATGCGACAGTGAGGCCAGAGTTCTCGCAGGCTGAAACATGGATGGGCACTGTACGTGGTGGGGTATGCGAGAGAGCGAGGACAGTTTCATCACATGGGTCAATCTGTGGCAGAAATTGCATCTTATGCGCTTACAGCTCATGGAAAGTTAAGTCTGGCACACCTTTTGTGAATAGTTAGTTTACTTAGTTATCTAGAGAGCGAGCAGCTCTGGTGATCAAAATAAATAAATCCGATATCGCACTTGGCTGGCGTATAGCGCGAAAAGACACTTCAACCCTAAACAAACATTCACGGAAGACCCGATCTATATACTAATGTTATACTGTCATTTATTGCAGCACGTTTCGTAAGCAGATCCTGAGATCATCGACCATAACCTGCCGGTCAAATTCCTGGATGTACACTCCTATTGTTCGCACAAGAGCCGCTCTCAGTCGCTCAATCTTCAAGGTGGGCTGACCCAGACACGCGTCAATCTAATGAATGTGAGGATTAACGTTAGACTTAGTAGAAGTGCACTTTCTTGAGGTTCAATCACACGGAGCACGAGAAGGTACCTGATAAGCCAGATATAGCGTTCACTTTACAGCCCATATGCATGTCGCTTGTAAAACCTTAAAAGAAATTGTAGAATAATAAACCAAGTAAAAATTGTAGAATAATAAACCAAGTTAAAATTGCGGGGCATACAATCCGTGTACACGGACTTACCACATCATCGAAGAACTGGTCGACTCCGGCCGCGTCGACCCGTAGCATGGGTGTTTCCACGTGCTCCCAGTCCTCCCAGTCTTCGCTGTGCAGCGCCTGCACAACATCCAGCGAACCATCGTCAGCATCTCTAACATTGGCCATACCCAAGTCCAGTACCCCAGCCCCCTCATCAGCGGCTTTTAACACTGAGCCAATCGTATTCCTCTGAGCGTTCGCATCGTTAGCTTCCAGCGTCGTGACCAAGGCATCCGCCCCAGCCAACTGACCGGTACCTGGCTCTGCGGTAGCTGAGCTGGCTTCCGTTCCCCCAGGCGCAGTCTCTGTAACTTCTACTGGCCGCGTTGAGCTATCGGCACGGTTTCCGCATGCTTCATTACCTACACCCAAACCATCGGATACTAATTCTCGGTTGATGGTGTGTGTGGCGTCATGTGCGGGTACCTCTGACACCGCTGCACCGCCGCCGAACATCGGGATGGCTTCCCCGTTCATCGTGCGTGCTCTAGTGTCATCGGTACGATCATTAAAGGGCGCCTCTGTAGTACCTTGCCTAGCAGTCTCACTCATCCCATGGCTGACCTCGTTCTCAGAAAGCCTCTCCACGCCGGACGGTGAGTTCCCAACCCCGTTTGTGACCCGCATATGGGCAGCTGGCGGGCTACTTTCCGTTCTATTTATAGATACCACACCCTCCTGTTCCCCCGCCGCGTTCCCAGCAGGCGCCGCACCACTCACACCTTTCTCTTTCTCTACTACACCAGGCCTATCAGCGGTACATCTGGTGGCTACTGCTGAGACTTCCGCCTCTCCAGCGGTAGCCAGGTCGCCCATTACTTCAACGGTAGCTAGACGGACTATGTCGCGCCGCCGTTTCAGCTCAGCCTGCTGCTGTTGTGTATTCACACCTGCGCTCGCACCCGCACTGTATTGTGTGACAGTCGTGGCATTGACCGTATGTGCGTGGTCAGACCCTTCCTCCTCGACCACAACCAATACATCCCGGTCTTGCACTATACCAGTGTCAGTAAACTCTATTCTAGTTACCATGACAACCGCAGGAGACTCACTGGGTGTGTGCGTGTTGGCCAGTGTATATGTTGCTGATGGGCTTTGGGTCAGAGATTTAATCGGATCACTGGATAAGTCTGCAGGCAGGCGCGAGCCATTTTCTAACGTCCTCGAATCGCTGCTTTCCACTGAATAAATGGGACATGGCGTGATATGAATCAGTGTGCGTGTTCAAGTGTAGACAGATGTATGCACATCTACACTCCCAGATAACTATACGCCTACATACATATATCTAAAAAGATTGGCAGTTGGTAAGCTTGAATAGGTCTGTTAGGCAAGCATTGGAGGTACAACTCTATTCGACACGGTGACTGCTGCGTGATTGAGCGGCTCGGGGTGCAGGTTCGAGGATTGCATCTGTAACAACCCCTTTCCGTCGAGTTTTATATAAGCATTCAAAGCGATAGCTATAATGGTTTGCGCGAGCCTACGTTATTGTATATGATAGCAATCATCAGCGCACGACAGCATCATACAGTCAAGCACAACAACGGCGAAAAGCGTACACTTATATATGTATTAACACTGCCCGCTACACACAACTAACTGACAAAGAACCAAATGCACACTAGCTGACCTTAAACCCAAAGAAATCATACGCATACATTGACAACAACAACAACACCAACACCTACACGCACACACACACACACATATATATATATATACATACATACATACACACACACACACACACACACACACACACACACACACACACACACACACAC